ATAAGAGTATCTCCTGCTAATTGTTTCTCCTTTATCCACACCAATAATAACTTCTCAACCTCTTCGAGTACTGGTGATCTCATTTTTGTCAGCATAGTTACCCCCTTGTAGGTAGTAGGTTGGTAGACAGCAACCGCCCAGGGAGGTACTACCGTCCTGCCAAGTGAGTGTAAAACGAAAGCCTGTAATTATTTTACATGATGGTAGGATTGCTGGTGTCTTTTGTCTGTCTCATAAATATGCAAGATTATAGGTAAGTCTTGCTACTTCTACTTACACTTAGGTCACACTACACATACATGTACAAGCATATATATACACACCCCTCTGGGTTTTCTTCTATTTTCTTTCTAATTCTTGTTCTTGTTTATTTCCTCTTATCTCCATGGGGAAGTGGAACAGAATTCTTCCTCTGTAAGCCATGCGTGTCGTAAGAGGCGACTAAAATGCCGGGAGCAAGGGGCTAGTAACCCCTTCTCCTGTATATATTACTAAATTTAAAAGGAGAAACTTCAGTTTTTTCTTTTGGGCCACCCCACCTCAGTGGGATACGCCTGGTACGTTGAAAGAAGAAGAAGAAGTTACCCCCTTTGCAACAACAGCGTCCTTGATTTCCTTTTTCTTGGCCACTATGGAACATATGGTTGTGTAGGGTTTCTTATACATCCTGGCCAGTTCGGCCAACTTGTACCACTTTCATATTGTTCGATGATGTTTTTCTTAAATTCAATCGTATTTTTCACCTTCTTTATCACAGGCTTGGCACTAGGAGCTTTCTTTAGAGCCATAGTAGCTTATTTAGTACTTGCAAGCACTAAAATAAATGGAATATTATGAAATATTTCGCTGGAGCACGTGAGGGGACCTTCGCTCACTGGTAAACAATGCCAGACTGGCTGCCGCCCCGGCTCACGCCGTGGGTACGCGTCCCAGACGAACTACTACTAGCGAGTCAACCTATGAAAAGCGAGCCCATGTTTATACGAAAATTTTTTTATTTTTTTTTTATTATCACACTGGCCGATTCCCACCAAGGCAGGGTGGCCCGAAAAAGAAAAACTTTCACCATCATTCACTCCATCACTGTCTTGCCAGAAGGGTGCTTTACACTACAGTTTTTAAACTGCAACATTAACACCCCTCCTTCAGAGTGCAGGCACTGTACTTCCCATCTCCAGGACTCAAGTCCGGCCTGCCGGTTTCCCTGAATCCCTTCATAAATGTTACTTTGCTCACACTCCAACAGCACGTCAAGTATTAAAAACCATTTGTCTCCATTCACTCCTATCAAACACGCTCACGCATGCCTGCTGGAAGTCCAAGCCCCTCGCACACAAAACCTCCTTTACCCCCTCCCTCCAACCCTTCCTAGGCCGACCCCTACCCCGCCTTCCTTCCACTACAAACTGATACACTCTTGAAGTTATTCTGTTTCGCTCCATTCTCTCTACATGTCCGAACCACCTCAACAACCCTTCCTTAGCCCTCTGGACAACAGTTTTGGTAATCCCGCACCTCCTCCTAACTTCCAAACTACGAATTCTCTGCATTATATTCACACCACACATTGCCCTCAGACATGACATCTCCACTGCCTCCAGCCTTCTCCTCGCTGCAACATTCATCACCCATGCTTCACACCCATATAAGAGCGTTGGTAAAACTATACTCTCATACATCCCCCTCTTTGCCTCCAAGGACAAAGTTCTCTGTCTCCACAGACTCCTAAGTGCACCACTCACTCTTTTTCCCTCATCAATTCTATGATTCACCTCATCTTTCATAGACCCATCCGCTGACACGTCCACTCCCAAATATCTGAATACGTTCACCTCCTCCATACTCTCTCCCTCCAATCTGATATTCAATCTTTCATCACCTAATCTTTTTGTTATCCTCATAACCTTACTCTTTCCTGTATTCACCTTTAATTTTCTTCTTTTGCACACCCTACCAAATTCATCCACCAATCTCTGCAGCTTCTCTTCAGAGTCTCCCAAGAGCACAGTGTCATCAGCAAAGAGCAGCTGTGACAACTCCCACCCTGTGTGTGATTCTTTATCTTTTAACTCCACGCCTCTTGCCAAGACCCTCGCATTTACTTCTCTTACAACCCCATCTATAAATATATTAAACAACCACGGTGACATCACACATCCTTGTCTAAGGCCTACTTTTACTGGGAAAAAATTTCCCTCTTTTCTACATACTCTAACTTGAGCCTCACTATCCTCAAAAACTCTTCACTGCTTTCAGTAACCTACCTCCTACACCATACACTTGCAACATCTGCCACATTGCCCCCCTATCCACCCTGTCATACGCCTTTTCCAAATCCATAAATGCCACAAAGACCTCTTTAGCCTTATCTAAATACTGTTCACTTATATGTTTCACTGTAAACACCTGGTCCACACACCCCCTACCTTTCCTAAAGCCTCCTTGTTCATCTGCTATCCTATTCTCCGTCTTACTCTTAATTCTTTCAATTATAACTCTACCATACACTTTACCAGGTACACTCAACAGACTTATCCCCCTATAATTTTTGCACTCTCTTTTATCCCCTTTGCCTTTATACAAAGGAACTATGCATGCTCTCTGCCAATCCCTAGGTACCTTACCCTCTTCCATACATTTATTAAATAATTGCACCAACCACTCCAAAACTATATCCCCACCTGCTTTTAACATTTCTATCTTTATCCCATCAATCCCGGCTGCCTTACCCCCTTTCATTTTACCTACTGCCTCACGAACTTCCCCCACACTCACAACTGGCTCTTCCTCACTCCTACAAGATGTTATTCCTCCTTGCCCTATACACGAAATCACAGCTTCCCTATCTTCATCAACATTTAACAATTCCTCAAAATATTCCCTCCATCTTCCCAATACCTCTAACTCTCCATTTAATAACTCTCCTCTCCTATTTTTAACTGACAAATCCATTTGTTCTCTAGGCTTCCTTAACTTGTTAATCTCACTCCAAAACTTTTTCTTATTTTCAACAAAATTTGTTGATAACAGCTCACCCACTCTCTCATTTGCTCTCTTTTTATACGAAAATATCCCTATGATTTCCGAAATCTATGATTGCCGAGAACTACGAAAAGTGAGGGACCACTGTATATATCAATGATCTTGATGAGGGAATTACTAGTGATATGAGCAAATTCGCCGATGACACAAAGATAGGTAGGATAATTGATTCAAACATAGATGTTAGGGAACTTCAGGAGGATTTAAACAAACTCTATTCTTGGTCAGAAAAGCGGCAGATGCAGTTCAATGTAGATAAATGCAAGGTTCTGAAGCTCGGGAGTGTCCATAACCCTAGCACTTATAAGTTAAATGATGTAGAACTTAGCCATACAGATTGCGAAAAGGACTTGGGGGTCCTGGTGAGCAGCAACCTTAAACCAAGACAGCAATGCCTAAGCGTACGTAATAAGGCAAATAGATTACTGGGATTTATATCAAGAAGTGTAAGCAACAGAAGACCAGAGGTCATACTGCAGCTTTATACATCATTAGTAAGGCCTCACCTAGATTATGCAGCTCAATTCTGGTCTCCATATTACAGAATGGACATAAATTCGTTAGAAAACATTCAGCATAGAATGACTAAATTAATACATAGCATTAGAAATCTTCCCTATGAAGAAAGATTGAAGAGTCTTAAATTGCATTCACTTGTTAGACGAAGAATGAGGGGAGACCTGATCGAAGTGTATAAGTGGAAGATAGGTATTAATAAAGGGGATATTAATAAGGTCTTGAGGATATCTCTCCAAGAGAGAACCCGCAGTAATGGATTTAAATTACACAAGTTTAGATTTAGAAAGGACATAGGAAAGTATTGGTTTGGAAATAGGGTAGTTGATGAGTGGAACAGTCTACCTAGTTGGGTTATTGAGGCTAGGACTTTGGGTAGTTTCAAATTTAGGTTGGATAAATACATGAGTGAGAGGGGTTGGATTTGAGTGGGACTTGCACATCAGAGCTTATTTCTTGGGTAGCATTAAAAGTTGGGTTAGGCAAATGTTTTGTTAGTGGGATGAATTGTAAAGGACCTGCCTAGTATGGGCCAACAGGCCTGCTGCAGTGTTCCTCCTTTCTTATGTTCTTACAACTCTATCCACTCATTTGCAAGTCCCACTCAAATCCAACCCCTCTCACTCATATATTTATCCAACCTAAATTTGAAACTACCCAAAGTCCTAGCCTCAATAACATAAGAACCAGTATTACAACTATTACCACTATTACAACTACCACCATCAACCACTATCATACTGCTTCCACTCTACCACCACCATCTTCATATTTTTCTACAAACTTTTTCTTAAATTATGTGTGTTTCTCACATTCTTTACCAAAGGGCTGGCACTAGAAGCTTTCTTTGGAGCCATGGTGACTTATTTAGCAGTTGCAAATACTAAAACAAATGGAATATTATGAAATGTATCGTATGAACTCGTGGGATCATCCTCACTCACTGATAAACAATGGAACACTGGCTGGGAAAGGAGTGTGAGGCGGCTCGGGGCTGTGTGTACCTGTCCCGGATGAACTACTATTCGCGAGTCAATCTACGATTAGCGAGCCCATGTTTATACGAAAATATCGCTATGATTTCCGAAATCTACGACTCTCGAGCCCTACGATTATCGAGGGACCACTGTATTTGGAATAACTCGCATGTGGATGCGGTCGCAAGCAGAGGTTCCACTGTATAGGTATTACTGGTGTTACGAGCTGCCACTGCTCATGGGGTTCCCCTTGTACAAATGGCCATGATGGCAGTAGGTAAATCTAGTTAAAACATTTTTAAAGAATTAAATATAAAATACTATTTACAGTGGAAAGTTTAAAACATATGAAAAAGATTAAGACAAATAATTATCATAAAAAAAAAAAAAAAAAATTTATACACAAAAAATTTTACACCTGAACTCAGAAATATATAAAGAATCTTTATTTATCACTATCTCTGGTTAGGATTCTTTCCCTAAAGACAAAAGCGCCAATTTCTTAAGTCCTGAACCCTTGGTTTCTTTTTCAACAGGAGATTCCTCAATGACCTCCTCTCTTTTCCGCTTTTTATCATCATCAACTGGAGTTGCCTGCTTGAGGTGTACTCTCTGAAACTGGAGTTGCTGCTTGAGGTGTACTCTGTGAGGAAGCTCCTGCAGCTTGTGACTGTACTTCTGCAGGAAAAACAAAATTTATGTAATTGTGGTTGTAAACTAAAAACTCCCAAGGGTCATTTATTAAGCTGATGAGGGGATGAGATGGAGATACATTGACAAGGAGGGAAGAATCACAATTTTTGGGAACCCAAACTGCTATCAACAGAAAAGAATGAGATTAGTAAAATTTCTTGTTGATATTTTTTTCAGTCTCTAAAGGTTATCTTAAAAATCACCAATATTTCCCTATGTTCCTCCTGACTAAACAATTCATGTATTACTTTTACATTCTACAGCAAATAACTACTGCTACTTTCCTCACATCTTCAGTTCCACTTTCCTAAACTAAGTGACATTGAGTCTTTTATTCTAATTAAGTTTTCTCTGTTTAAAAAATATCTGTAAATAGTCACAGGAATCAATGCCCTTCCATGTCCCAGTCCCAGGCCTCAGATAATCCCTGTTACATTGCCTTACTGTCCCAGTCCCAGGCTCGTTTAATCCCTGCTACATTGCCCTTCCATGTCCCAGTCCCAGGCTCAGATAATGCCTGCTACATTGCCCTTCCATGTCCCAGTCCTAGGCTCAGATAATGCCTGCTACATTGCCCTTCCATGTCCCAGTCCCAGGCTCAGATAATGCCTGCTACATTGCCCTTCCATGTCCCAGTCCCAGGCTCAGATAATGCCTGCTACATTGCCCTTCCATGTCCCAGTCCTAGGCTCAGATAATGCCTGCTACATTGCCCTTCCATGTCCCAGTCCCAGGCTCAGATAATGCCTGCTACATTCCCCTTCCATGTCCCGTCCCAGGCTCAGTTTAATGCCTGCTCATTGCCCTTCCCATGTCCCGTCCTAGGCTCAGATAATGCCTGCTACATTGCCCTTCCATGTCCCAGTCCCAGGCTCAGATAATGCCTGCTACATTGGAAATAAATACTATAAGAAAATATTCTAGTGAGAAAAAGATAGGAGAGGCAAGTGAATACTTACTTCAGTAGAAAATTGTAAGATTTACCAATCATCCTGTTAGTTCAGAGCAGTGGCAGCTTGTGATGCCAGTAATACCTATACAAATTTCTATTTTTAAACATTTTTTGTTTCAACAACAACAAAAAAAAAACATCACTTATAAATACATTGAAAACAACATATAACAGATTTTTCCTATATTTGTCAGTTGCAAATTATTTTAGTGTAAGGTTGATGAAGTCATATGTCTGGCAGTGAGCATCTGGGGGGGGGGGGGGATTGACTGCAGCTTTTGCGCTCCTATGGACAGTGGCATCATAAGGGGGGGAGGGGGGGGGTGCCCAGGTGACACCATTTAGGAGTGACACTTAGAGCCTGAAAAGGTGGACATTTAATGCCCAAAACAGTGTTTGCCATCATAAGGAAGAATCCTTCATTTTCTGTATAACCTATTACATGAAAAACAGATTCAAATGGGCCCTTTATATAGGGAAACTATGATTTTGATGATGTGTAGATGATTTTGCAGATTGAAGGCCTGTCACGCCCGGGCCGGGGGCGTTGATCCCGGACTCTTCCAGGTGAACTCAGGAAAGGGAATGTAAAATCAGATTCACTCAGATGGTACTGTACCAAGGTCAAATCAGAACTAGTGTTAACTCTGATATGCAATGTTTTTCTTTATTTTCAAGTTGTTTTTTTTTTGCTTCAAATCAAGTTTATTTTAAGGATTACATTGCTGGTTTACAGAATTTGGTTATTGTGTGGTTTACATGTAGTAAATAATATATTACGTGTACCACTAGAACCCTATTTGGGCTGGCATTTCGGGCAGACTTTAGATCAAATTTTAAAGTTTAAATATTACATAAAATTATGAGGTATTTGGTATTTTGGCTAAGTGACTAAATACTAGTTTGTGAGTTTAGCAATGTGATTGCTTTTGTTTTGGCACTATAATAGTTTCAGTATTGGAGTTAAAGGGGCCAATTATTGACTAGTAAGATTCATATTTTGAGTTGAGATTGATATTTCTGTGTATGGTCAAATGGGGTGATTGATTTGTAAGGTGAACACCAGGTGGTGTTCGTAAAATTAGTGACAGGGTGTATCAGGGGAGATAAATGTTTTCTGATGGTAGTTTGAAGGTGATATGTGTCGCAGTTTTAGGAATTTTCGGTAGGGTGTTCCAGATTTTAGGGCTTTGACATAACGTTGAATTTTTGAAAAGTGTTTAGTCGGACACGGGGAATGTCATAGAGATGTTTGTGTCTGGTGTTGTGCCTGTGGGTTCTGTCACAACTATCAAGAAAGCATTTTGGGGTCAAGGTTAATATTGGAATTTAAGGCCCTGTAGATGTAGATTGCACAGTAGTAAGTGTGGATATATTTGAACAGGGAGAAAGTTTAGATCTATAAAGAGTGGGGGGGAGGTGTTGCCAGGGATGGGATTTAGTGATTATTCTTACTGCGACTTTTTGTTGGGTTATTATTGGCTTTAGGTGTGTTGCTGCAGTTGAAACCCAAGCACAGACAGCATAGGTGAGGTATGGATATATAAGTGAAGGGTTTATAGTGTTTTGAAAGGGCAGTTTGCGGCACGTAGTATCGTATCTTGGAGAGGTTTCCTAACCGTTTTGGTACCTTTTTTGGTTGTGTGTTGGATATGGGTGCTGAAGTTCAGGTTGTTTGTCGAGGTATGGGCCCTAGGAATTTGCCCTCATTATGCTGGCAATTAGAGTGTTGTCGATCTTAATGTTAATTTGCGCATCCCCTGCTCTGCTACCAAACATAATGTAGTAGGTTTGTCAGGGGTTAAGTGTAAGTTTTTTGGCTGTCATCCAAGTCGATTATTTTGATTAGATCCTCATTAACAATGGTGTTGAGGGTGGCAAGATTAGGGTGAGAGATGACATAAGTCATGTCGTCAGCAAAGAGAATGGGTTCAGGAGTTGAGATAAGTTTGGAAGATCATTGATGTATATGAGGAAGAGCAGGGGACCAAGGACACTTCCCTGCGGAACTCCAGTATCAAGTTGGCTGTGTTGTTGATGCTGTGTCTTTAATGGTGACATACTGATACCTATTAGTAAGGTAAGTTTGAAATATGCAAGCGCATGGCCTCTTTTCCATAATGGTCAAGTTTGTGGAGTGGGATGCCGTGGTCTACTGTGTCAAAGCTTTTCTTAGGTCTAAAAAAATTTCCCTTTAGTGGATATTCCTTATTTTCCAATGCTGTGTAAAGCAGATCTAGCATTTTTATGATTGCATCATTAGTGCTTTTATTTTTCCTGAATCCAAATTGGCAGGGGTTGGGTATGTTTTGTGCCGTTATAAATGAATATAGTCTCCTGTGCAAGAGTTTCTCAAAGATTTTGGATAGCAATGGTAAGTTTGATATTGGCCTATAGTCATTTAAATCTGTAGGGTCACCACCTTTATGTATTGGTGTCACCCTTGATGTCTTGAGTAGTTTCGGGAAGGTGCTAGTTTCTAGTGACTCGTTAGCTGTGTCAGTGGGTTGCAGCGGTGTTTCATTAGGTTCAGTTAGGACAATATTCTTGTTTTTTTTTCAGTTTGTGGGTCCCTAGAATTTGAGAGTGTTTTCCAGGTCTTTTTTATATCTCCTCTTGTGTCAGTGAATCTACTGTAGTAGTATAGTTGTTTGGCTTTCTTTATTACTTTGGTGAGGACTGATGAATAGTGTTTAAGAATATCTTTGTGTATTAAGCCCTTTCTATATTGCTTTTCATATTGGTGTTTCTTGTCAATGGATTTCAGAATGGTGCTGGTTAGCCATGGGCAACCAAGCCGTTTGTTTGTGATCCGCTTCGTTTTCATAGGACAATGTTTGTTGTATAGTCTAAGTACAGTGAACCCCCGCATACCGTTGGCATCACATAACATTAAATCCGCATACCGATACATTTTATCGCTAAGATTTTGCCTCGCATACCTCTAAAAAAAACCCGCTCAACGCTGTTCGTCCGAGACGTGTCTTATGTGCGGCCAGAGCCAGCCTCACATGTTCCGCCGGTGGCATTGTTTACCAGCCAGCCTCCGCGGTAACATCCAAGCATACAATCGAAACATTTCGTATTATTACAGTGTTTTTGGTGATTTTATCTGCAAAATAAGTGACCATGGGCCCCAAGAAAGCTTCTAGTGCCAACCCTACAGCAATAAGGGTGAGAATTACTAGAGAGATGAAGAAACAGATCATTGCTAAGTGTGAAAGTGGAGTTCGTGTCTCCGAGCTGGCCAGGTTGTATAATAAACCCCAATCAACCATCGCTACTATTGTGGGCAACAAAACGGCAATCAAGGAAGCTGTTCTTGCCAAAGGTTCAACTGTGTTTTTCGAAAAAAGAGATGCAAGTGATGGAAGATGTTGAGAGACTCTTATTGGTATGGATAAATGAAAAACATATAGCAGGAGATAGCATCTCTCAAGTGATCATAAGTGAAAAGGCTAGGAAGTTGCATGAGGATTTAATTAAAAAATGCCTGCAAATTGTGATGATTGTGAGTAATTTAAGGCCAGCAAAGTTGGTTTGAGAGATTTAAGAAGCATAGTGGCATACATAGTGTGATAAGGCATGGTGAGGCTGCCAGTTCGGACCACAAAGCAGTGAAAATACGTACAGGAATTCAAGGAGTACATAGACAGTGAAGGACTGAAACCCGAACAAGTGTTTAATTGTGATGAAACAGGCCTGTTTTGGAAGAAAATGCCAAGCAGGACCTACATTACTCAGGAGGAAAAGGCACTCCCAGGACATAAGCCTATGAAAAGACAGGCTTTTCTCTGTTTTATGTGTTTCAATGCTACTGGGTGATTGCAAAGTGAAGCCTTTTATTAGTGTATCACTCAGAAACTCCCAGAGCGTTCAGACAAAAGAATATCCTCAAGGCTAATTTGTGTGTGCTGTGGGGGCAAAACGTAAAGGGATGGGTCACTGGGACTTTTTCTATGACTGGTTACACCATGCATTTGCCCCCAATGTGAAAGATTTACTTAACTGAAAAGGAAAATTAGACCTTAAG